GTTGGTTGTGGTATTCCCGTCATAGGTACCCCTGGAAAATTTCAGAGATGTGCACATGTACAAATGAGGGTAACTAGCAATCGTGGCAACTACCTTTCATAACTGTCTACTCGACACGCGGCACATCATTCGCGGCACATCGTAATGCGGTATACCTGCTCCTCATCAAGTGAGTGCGGCACGCCTACACACAGCACCTGGCGAAAATTGCACCTGCGACGTCGATGTAATCTGTCTGGCTGATCATATCTGTATCTGGGCTAGTAATCCTCAATGTGCTAAAGTGCTAACTCTCTGTAATTTCCCAGTGTACTGTGACCCAACATAGCGTGGCATCCTGCTCTTCTGGCGTTCTGCATACTTGAATGGAAAGCTTGGTTGTCACCCTGGCATGATCTGCTGTTGTTGATTGGTCTTCTTCGCCGTGTCGGAAATCGACATGTTGTACCTGCAACTGTTTACCTTCCCTGAGGTCAAACTTAACCTCAAGAAAAGTTTATCATAAACTGATCCTTCCTACGGATTCTCAAATCATCTGTATTTGAGAATCGAGGCTCTGAACATACTGAAAATGACTGATAAGTCTTGTCTTATTAGACATACCATTTTCAATCTTGACATGACTGCCCTGAATATTCTCATGATTGAATAACCATGACTGAACTCTTACATGACTGAATCATTCTTACCTTGAATGCTGAAACTATCCCAAGACAATAAAATAATCATCTCGGAATTTGGAACATGACATTTACTAACTTATTTAACTTGATAAGGTACGACTTCAAGTTTCCAGGTAAATCTGGACTAATAATCTGTATCTCAGACCGCTACATTTTACCCGGCTGAACAACTATTATACGTCGACCTTACTTCACGAACATAAACTGTAAATCGTGAACATTGGCTCATGACTGTGTACTATATTGGGCTGCTCCAGATCAACTGGTCCCGCAAGTACTGAATAAATAGCTGATCTTAAACTTTGGCAATTAAGCTTCAGAGTATCTAACTGGTAAGATACCCGACTTAGCTGACTCTAAAGGTTGTTACTTCTCGAACTGTGCCGCTCCGGTTCCAGCTTCAAGCCTCCATGGTATACCCGGCTTAATGGCTCTTATTTCAAGCCTCCATGGTAACCCGGACTTTTGGCTCTTATACACTGAAAAACCGTTACTTGATAATAACTTAAAAATTTTAACAACCTTTAATATGAAAACTTGTTGCCCTGAACTAGCTTTACTGACTTGACTTAGGAAAATTGAACTTATTCCCAGTCTAACTCAAGGAAT